CTCACCACATACTCCATGCGCTTTTCAGGGGTCGGTGCCAGAGGTCTTGGTGGACGTGCTCGACACTCACATAGAACATGACCCATGGACGCAATGAAGCCTCTCCTCAGCTGAGAGGCGGGAGGTATTGCACTGCATCAATTCCTCAGGTACTTTGTCTTCACCAATTTAATTCTGTTCTTGGTGCTGGAACATTTACGGTTACGTAGGAGCTGGTCTAGACAAATAGCCAAAGAAATTAGTTCATCTAGGTTGATCACCCCTACGGGATAATTTGGAAAGTATTTCAGAATTCAGTCCTTGACGAAACATAACCAATAAAGCTGGCCCATTCCAGCCACTTCCAGCTGCCGATCTGAAACTGAATGGTTACCTTGGCAAAGCTTGGTCAAATGTTCACCACTGACTTTACTCTCATGAGGATAATCAAAAACTAGGCGCAGCTCCTTCAAAAATTGTCCGTATGATAGAGTCTGAACCTTTGGCCAGATAGTGGTAACCCATTCTATTGCTCTGTCACAAAGGCGGGATGTGAAAAAAAATCTTTGCCTAATCTGAGATTGATGGAGAGTTGTTAAAAAAATGAGCATTGTAACAAAAATCCTCAGCATTTCTCAGGGTTACCATCAAACTTATCTGGCTTGCTGAAAGAAAAAACTGAACTTGTAGACTCAACAGTGTGGGAGTATTAGCAGCGTTCTCACTCTTACTAGATGTACTTAGGGCTTGCAGTTGAACTGTTAATTCTTTAAAATTAGCAACAAAATGGAGTAGTTGAGACTGCTGTTCAGCCTGCTACTGTGTAAGTAACTAATATGGAGTAACATCCACTAATACCTATCAATGTTGTCCAAGCAAGTTACCTTGATTGGCGATAGCCTTTTGGAAAGCCTCATAGTCTGCTGCCTGCATTGTAGGTGAGGTACTGACCCAGTCAGACACATAAGGCATTATTATAAACGCGTTTGGCAAAACACAATGTTGCTGAACAGGCAAGGGTCAAATCCAGAAAGGCCAAGAAACAAAGAAAGACAAACATAACAAACCAGGCAACCAGATCCAAAGGGCAAAAGGCAAAAAGCAAAGTCAAGGAGTCCAAGGCAAGATCATAACAGACAAAGGGCAATTAAACAAAATGCTCAGTATTTCTCAAAAGTAGAAGCAATACCTCACAAAGTACCTAAGCTAAAAGCCAGGGCTTTATACTAACTCTAATGGATCACATGAAAAGAGATACAGGTGAAAGAGATTCATTTTCGTGTGACTTCAAGCAATGATTGTAGTTCTGTGGAGTGTCATCAGTCACATGATCTCCCTGAGGGTTCTGGGAGATGGAGTTCCTGGCTTTAGAGCCGGAAGGATGCATGAAACCTGCACATGGGACTGCAGGAATCAAAGGTGGGAGACTCTAAAATAAACCTGCAAGAGGGACTTAAGGAAACAAAGCTGGTAGACACTAAACTACAACTGCCAGTGGGGTTGCGGGAATCAAAGTTGGGAGACACAAAAATATACCTGCCAGTTGGGCTGCAGGAACAATGCTAATAGACACTAAAATATACCTGCCAGGGGGCTGCAAGATCGAAACCTTGAAACACTAATATAAACTTGCCAGAGTGAATGCAGGAACAAAGCTGGCAGATGCTAAAATAAACTGTGAGACATTAAAATATAAATGCTGGAGGGGAGTTTGGCATGGCCACAAAGATACCCATGGAGAAAATTACCTCATGCCAACTACGAAGTAAGGTGGCGGATCTCTGATGTTGGTAGGCAGTTTTGCTTCCAAAGGCCCTGGACAATTTATTCAGATACATATTATCACAGACTCCATCATGTAGCAGCAGAAATAAAGTCAAAACCTGACTGCCTCAGCCAGGAAGCTTAAACTGGGCCACAGTTTGGGACTTCCAGCAGGATAATGATCCAAAGAATGCCTCAAAAACAACACAAAAATGGTTTCTTGAAACTGAATTAAGGTTTTGCCATGTTCACTCCAGTCCACTGACCTGAACTCCAAAGGACACCTGTGGGCTGACCTGTAGAGGAGAGTCCACAGTGTGGACCTCAAAATCTGAAGAATCTGTAGAAGTTTTGTATGGAGGAACGGTCTCAGATACTTTGCCATGTGTTCTCCATTCTCATTATCACAATCGCATTGTAGGAGAAGACTCAGAGCTGTTATCTTTGCAAAGGAAGGCTGCACAAAGAATTAACTGAAGGGGTGCCATTAATTTGAGGAAAATATTTATTTCCTGATAAGATTTGTTTTATTAAGTCATTTTAATTCAAATGTTATATATGTGTTAATATTTTGAATGAAAAATCAAAAGAATCAGCAATACAGATTTTATTTTACAGCCTGTTTTGCTCATGTTTACCAGGGGTGCCAATATTTGTTGAGGGCACTGTGTAGCAGCAGAAAAAGGACCACGTCATTGATAGTTCTGATAACTCACATTCAGACGAGCAGTATAATTTGTGAAAAGTCAATTTGGCAAACAGACAATAATATTACTACAGTCTACAATATTTCTTATGCTAATACATTCTACTTACGTGAAAGAATATACATTTCAAAAAGAAGAAAAACAAAAAAATATTTTGATTATACAATTATTTACAGGCTATTAGGAATACACTATTAATGCTGGAATTACATTCTCTGCCTGACCACTAAAAGAAAACATTTGTTTTTTGTAGACTTAAGTCTTTTAAATGAAAAAAAATAAAGAGGAAAAAAAGAATAAAAACATCAAATTCAATGTTATATGAGATGACACAGACAGCCCGCACGTTCCGGCCAGATTACCTTGGCGATCACAAAATCCTCCTAGCAGCATTAACGGCCCTAAACAGTCTACCGCATAGCAGACTCAGAACACATTTGGGCCAGATCTCATTTAAAATTTTCCCCTCCCCTTTCTCCCACTTAGTTATATGCAGTCGTCAGTTTAATGCGTAAAGTTTGCTGCTGAATTCTGAAGTAAGTCTTATTTTATATTTTAAATATTTGCACATGTATTAGAATTACAATCTGGTATTATGTGTGAGTTGGGGAACTGGGAAGACACGGACGTCTCTCTTTTTTATGTTGACTAGACCGTGTTGCAACAATTAGCATTATTATTGTCTCTATATGTATATCTGCTGATATGTTCAGAAGCATCAGGAGGTGCATTTACAAAGACACTAGAGGTACCACTACTAGTACTACGACTACTACTTCTACTGATAATAATAATTGTTCTTGCAATTTTTAGATAGTTCCTGACTCTGAAGCACAATAGGTAATATCATGAGTTTTTTTTTCTTTTTTGGCAAAAATAGTAGAATAGAAAAAAAGAAGAAGAAAAGAATAATAGCGCAGTTCACTTAAAGTTGTGTTTGTTGTTGTGTCTCATCTTTTATATACTGAATTCAATATTTGTAAGTACTCATGAGTTATTGCATTTTTTTAAATTGGTTAATTTATTTTTTTACATATTTTACTCAACTTGACAAGCAAAGAAGCTTAATGGTAGAGTGCAAATACAAATGATTTTAGTCCTGTTACATTAACATAAACGTCTTTGATTATCATTAATTTTAAATACATTTTGCCTCTCCACCAGGTCCTGATGGAGAGCCAGCTTCTTATACCGATTTGGGCCAACCAATGTATTGGTCAGACTCTAAACTGGGCAGTAATCCCAGTACTCCTCTGGTAGCAGACTCGGTCTTATCATGTATTTTCAGTGTTTAATTGTAATAGCTATTTTGTGAATGCAGACCACGCCTTGGTAAATGAGATAATGAGAGGAGGGGAACTCGGAGGAATTTTGAATTCAGTACTGCTTCTGTGGGTCATGAGAAGGCCGACCCCCAAAAACTCCAGATTAGATGGAGGCCAGCCATTGTATGTAGCCATGGTAAGCTTGTGAAGACCATCGTCTGAGCAGTTGAACCGTATGATGGGGGAGCCCTTGGCAAGTAGCAGAAGAAGCTGCTCCGATTCTGAAGGAACGAGCAGAAAATCGCTCTGGAGGGTAACCGGATAATGAGAGTACCTGGCATAAGAGTTTGTGGAACCAGCAATGGGAGACAACAGAGCCGGTTTCTGTGATGAAAAGTGGGTCTGATTGCTAGGCGTTTTGATAGAGCCTGAGTAGGAGTAGCAGTGCCAGAGGTTCGTATGGGCTGAGATAAGAGTTTATTTTAAAGAAGTACAGAGGAACGCTTTTACCAAATTGGTTTTGTTCTGGTCAGTTGGAGGATGGAGTCCAAATATGGAGGAGTCAGTGTAGGATGAGTTTCTGCTTGAGGTGCCAAGGCTTTGAATTTCTGAAATTGAAAATGAGAGAGTCAGCAATAGCATTCGAATGGCCTGGGATGTGAATGGTGTGAAGAATAAATTGATGTTGGACTGAGTGCCGAGTAAGACAACGTAGGAATGGCATGAGTGTTAAGGATTTAGAACGTCCTTTGTTGACTGTATGAACAACTGTGGGGTTGTCAGAGTGGATGAGAATCTGTCTTGTCCATTCATGTCACCAAAGGAGTGCAGCAATGATGACCAGGTAGAGTTCCCACAAGGCAGAGAAATCGCCTGATTCAAGAGAAATCAAAGCAAACTCTGAAGGCCAAGGAGAAGACCAGCGGCCACCGTAGAAGCCATCGAAGCCCATCGAGGGAGCTGCATTGGTGAATAGTTGCAGATCTTCAGGGACTAGGATAGTGTCTTCATAGAAGAAAGAGATGCCATTCCAGTGCTGGAGAAGGAAGAGCCAGAAGCGGAGTTCTGAGATACATGCATCATCCACGGAGAGGCGGTGTTGGAGTGAGGGAACAAATTCTGACAGGGCAGTAGTAATACATTCCAGCTTATCGGGTGGAAGGGAAGCCTGGAACAAGACTGAATCTAGCTGAATGCCAAGGAACTCGAGAGACATAGATGGACCCACTGACTTCTCGGGAGAGAGGGGGGCACCGAGACACTGAAATGCAGAGGAGAGGGTACAAAGGCCATACGCAGGTGGGAAGGAAAGGGGAGACCACCATGAGGAAGTCATCGAGGAGGTAGAGTACATGGGGTAGTCTGCAAACATTCAGCAGGAACCAACACAAGGCTTCAGCCAGGGTGTCGAACATCTTGGGGCTGCTCTTGCAGCCGAAGGCGAGATGAACTGTAAAGTCATATCTGCCTTCCCAGCAAACTCCACTTGATGGATGGTTCTGAGGAGCCATGAGGGGCAGACAAATCGATAATGAGACGTTTCTTGCCAGAAATTTTACAAGTGGCAACGCTGGCAGGATTGACAAGATAAGTGGAGAAGGGAGGAGAAGCGAAAGGGCCGATCATAAAACCTTCCGAAACTTCTTTGGCCAAAAGGGAAGACACGACATCAGGCTCAGACAGAGCAGAGACGAGGTTGCGACACGAAAGGGAAGAGGCAGGAAACACAGCGAGTCCTGGAGAAAAGCTGAATATAAGGTCATCTAGCAAATAAGAGATGAAGGAATGATCAGGATGGAGGGAGAGGTCAGCAGCGAGAGCAGGGGCATTGACAGGAATAGAAAGATGCCAGAGTAGTCTTTTGGGCCCAAACTTAGGAGGGTTAAGGGGACATCCAGATCTGGAATGAGCTTGGCCACAATGAGAGCAGACATGGAGCAACTTGCATGAAGAAGAAAAACATCCAGCGGAGTTGAAATTATTACAGACCATCTGGCCCCCAAGGAAAAAAAAAACCTGCGGCTGTTGCGGGAACTGGAAGTCATAAAGATAGGGGCGCAGTGGGAGCAGAGGTTACGGCGGGGCGGCGAGTGGGAAGGGGTGGAGTAACGAGAGTGCAGGAGGAAGCAGGGTGAGACAGGCAACCTCAGAGCTCACAGGAGAGAGCAGTTTGACCAGCGAATACATGACAGTAGAGCTCAAGATCCAGGTAGCCCCAGTATGTAGAAATGTTCCACTGCTGAAGACGGGCTCATGCACGGGCCAAGAACAGACGATGGTAATCACAGAAACCTGACCTTCCAAATCGAACGGCGAGGTCTAAGATGATCGAAAGATAGTAATCTAGACTATCGAAGAGACGTTGGGGAGCTGCTGCGCGCCATACAAGAGCTGCCATGGCAAGATGAGGAACCAGACGAAGCCAAGGCATCAGGCATGTTAGGAACCGCAATGACGGACTTGAGCCTGGGTGCAGGACGTGCAGATTCCTGGGAGGAAAGATGCTGGCTTTCACCAAAGAGGTCGTCATCGGAAGCGACAATGTCGAGGTCCATGACAAGACGACAGCAGGTGAGTAGCATGATTTTCGGTGCAAAATTTCATCATGAGTAGGAGGAGTGAAGGACTGGTATTTATAGGAAGCTGGATTTGAGAAGCTGGAGTTTTAGGTGTGGTCTTTCCTCAAACTTCAGTTATGTCATAACTCCATTTCAATTTCGGTGGACATATCAAAAATCAAATTAATCACTAGACTCAATTAACACAACTCAATTAACAATATAATCGATAGTGACAGCCCTGTTTTCAGTAAAGTTATGAACATGTTGTGTACGGGAATACAGTTAAGACAACAGGTTTGGTTCCTGACTTCTTGCTGATGTTGGCTGAAGCAGAAACTCAATGAAAAGTGTACATAATGAGCTTCCTTAATGACAGCTTTGGAAATGTTATGCTAACACATTCACCTATCAATTCACTATGTTTTGTTTATTTGTATTGGTCATAAATATTCAGTTCACCATTCAGCTGTCAAACACAGCAATGATGAACTGTAAGCATTTTAAGTTATCTGAATTTCAGCATTTGGATTAGGCCCAATGGATACATAAATTGTGACATACCAGTAATGATTTGTTAAGAGGCTAGTAATTACATTAACACTTAACAAAATTGGCTGGAATCATTTTATACTGTAGTATTTTATATTGTTGAACTAACTTTTCAAAAAATGCTGTGTTGAAAACATGATGTTCAATAAATCTTTTTCCTTTTAGAATTCACTTTGCTGAAAACATTCATAATTTAATGATTTGTGAATAATTATGTGGCATATGGAACTGTTACTGACTCTTTACATTTTACATTTAAGGCATTTGGCAGACACTTTTATCCAGAGCAACTTACAATTTCATTCTTTTTATACAGGCAGGCGAAGGTAGTGTTAGGAGTCTTGCCCCAGGACTCTCATTGGTATAGTGTAGAGTGCTTGCCCAGGCTGGAGATTGAACCCCAGACTACAGTGTAGAACCACGACTCTGGAATGGATCTGGTGCAAATGCAATAAATCAGGGCAGGACTCATTTCAGAGACAGCTGCTAGTATCAACTTGAGCTTGAACCTCTTCTGAACAGGGTCCATTCCACATTTGGGTAAAGCAGTTCCATTATTTGGCCGTTGTGCAAAAAGACACCAGGCCAGCTCTGCTTTGAGGATCCGGACTGGATGCGGTACCACATTTGGCCCTAATCAGATACAGTGTACATTTATTGTCTGGGTAACTAAATCTTAGTTAGCTTTTGACAGTTTCTAATAGGGAGCAACATATTCATGACAACTCACAAGGAAAACCCTTTCAATAACTGAAATTTCTGAAACCAAAAAAAATAATTCAATGATTCAGCTACTGCATGGCACTGTGGACATGACAGAAGCAGAGTCTTTTATGAAAATCCATTTCTCTGTTTCAGAGCGTAGCATGGGCATGATTCTTGAACTCTCTGGGTGGTCATCAAGAGTTCTTGCCTTTAGGGGTAGTTCTGAATTAATAATAATTTGAGAAGGTAGCTATTAAATCTTAGAGGTTTACATCATATCATGGCTTACTTCACACAAAAGGGAAAATATGTAGATTTCTTTGAGGGGCTTCACAACTCTCGAGTTTTTAATGGTGTGAAGATGGGGGGATTTGAAAAAGGATAAATGACCTCCTATGAAGAGTCATAAAAGTTGATGCCTTTAATCCTCTGACAGCCTGTAGGGAGACACTCTGTCAAATAGATAGGCTGCATAGATGGTGGTGGTTTAAATAAACAAACTTGTGCTTGGAATGTGACAGTAAAATGGACCAGTTATTTAGTAAACAGTGAATTTCAAAAGAAGAATAGATTATGAAATTTCATAGGATTTTTCAAGTTTACAAGAACACAAAAAACTATAGAGAACAAGAAGAATAATACAGAAAATGGAGCATAATAATCTCAACAGGTAAACTTGTTCAGAAAAACACACATTACCTCACATGGAAAGGCTTAATTAAACAAAAGCTTCAAGAATGAAGCAGCAGGCTGAGAGAGAGAGGGAGAGAGAGAAGGATGAAGAGCCAAATGTTTGTCAAAACATCCACCATCGCATCAGAAACACTGTACCAGCTTAGATCAACTACACTAGAAAATAAAGAGTCTTATATTATTGAATGTAGAGCCTCTTGATTTTTATATACGTATAATACATATAAAACACATTTTGGGGGAATCTGAAGTACCACATCATTGTGTGTATGAGCTTGACGTTGTTCAGTACAGGAAAACACAATGGTTATGTTTTACAAAAAGGGGAAATCAACAAGAGGTGGTTTTCCTCTAAAAATATTTTGAAATCTGACCTACAATTACCGTTTCCTCCAAACGTTTACTCCCAGAATGTGTTAAGGTTACACTTATTACTCCTGGTTTCCACCACAGCTCTTAGCGCACTTGTGTGTCTTTGCAGTATTTGAAAACCTGAAACTCTTCCCACACTCTGAGCAGTGATACGGTTTCTCTCCTGTGTGAATACGCTGGTGGTTTTGGAGATTACTCTTTTGAGTAAAACTCTTTCCACACTCTGAGCAGTGATACGGCTTCTCTCCTGTGTGAATGCGCTGATGTATTTTGAGTTTACTCTGTCTAGTAAAACTCTTCCCACACTCTGAGCACTGATGGGGCTTCTCTCCCGTGTGAATGCGCTGGTGCTGTCGGAGAGTGCTCCGTTCAGTAAAACTCTTCCCACACTCTGAGCAGTCATACGGCTTCTCTCCTGTGTGAATGCGCTGGTGTATTTTGAGTTCACTCTGTCTAGTAAAACTCTTCCCACAGTCTGAGCACTGATGGGGCTTCTCTCCCGTGTGAATGCGCTGGTGCTGTCGGAGAGTGCTCCGTTCAGTAAAACTCTTCCCACACTCTGAGCAGTCATACGGCTTCTCTCCTGTGTGGATGCGCTGGTGCTGTTCAAGATTACTCTTTTGACTAAAACTCTTCCCACACTCTGAGCATTGATACGGCTTCTCTCCTGTGTGAATGCGCTGGTGTATTTTGAGTTTACTCTGTCTAGTAAAACTCTTCCCACACTCTGAGCACTGATGGGGCTTCTCTCTCGTGTGAATGCGCTGGTGCTGTCGGAGAGTGCTCCGTTCAGTAAAACTCTTCCCACACTCTGAGCAGTCATACGGCTTCTCTCCTGTGTGGATGCGCTGGTGCTGTTCAAGATTACTCTTTTGACTAAAACTCTTCCCACACTCTGAGCAGTGATACGGCTTCTCTCCTGTGTGAATGCGCTGGTGTATTTTGAGTTTACTCTGTCTAGTAAAACTCTTCCCACAGTCTGAGCACTGATGGGGCTTCTCTCCTGTGTGAATGCGCTGGTGCTGTCGGAGAGTGCTCCGTTCAGTAAAACTCTTCCCACACTCTGAGCAGTCATACGGCTTCTCTCCTGTGTGGATGCGCTGGTGTGTTTTGAGATGACTCTGTCGATTAAAACTCTGTCCACACTCTGAGCAGTGATATGGTTTCTCTCCTGTGTGAATGCGCTGGTGTATTTTGAGACTACTCTGTGAAGTAAAACTCTGTCCACACTCTGAGCAGTGATACGGTTTCTCTCCTGTGTGGACGCGCTGGTGTATTTTGAGACTACTCTGTGTAGTAAAACTCTTCCAACATGCTGAGCAGTCATATGGCTTCACTCCTGTGTGAATGTGCTGGTGCTGTTCAAGATAACTCTTTTGACTAAAACTCTTCCCACACTCTGAGCAGTGATACGGCTTCTCTCCTGTGTGAATGCGCTGGTGTATTTTGAGTTTACTCTGTCTAGTAAAACTCTTCCCACAGTCTGAGCACTGATGGGGCTTCTCTCCCGTGTGAATGCGCTGGTGCTGTCGGAGAGTGCTCCGTTCAGTAAAACTCTTCCCACACTCTGAGCAGTCATACGGCTTCTCTCCTGTGTGGATGCGCTGGTGTGTTTTGAGAGCACTCTGTTGAGTAAAAGTCTTCCCACACTCTGAGCAGTAATACGGTTGTACGCCTGTGTGAATGCGCTGGTGTATTTTGAGTTTACTCTGTGTAGTAAAACTCTTCCCACACTCTGAGCAGTGATACGGCTTCTCTGCTGTGTGGATGCGCTGGTGTGTTTTGAGATTACTCTGTGTAGTAAAACTCTTCTCACACTCTGAGCAGTGATATGGCTTCTCTCCTGTGTGGATGCGCTGGTGTGTTTTGAGATTACTCTGTGTAGTAAAACTCTTCTCACACTCTGAGCAGTGATATGGCTTCTCTCCCGTGTGAATGCGCTGGTGCTGTCGGAGAGCACTCTGTTTAGTAAAACTCTTCCCACACTCTGAGCAGTCATACGGCTTCTCTCCCGTGTGAATGCGCTGGTGCTGTCGGAGAGCACTCTGTTTAGTAAAACTCTTCCCACACTCCAAGCAGTACTGATTTCTCTCTTTGCTGTGTTCCTGTGTTTCTGTGTGAGATATGTTCATGTGAGAAGTAAAAGAACATCTTCTGGATGCCATATTCTTATATAAATCACCTGTTTCAGCAGCTTAACTTTCCTCTTGGTGGAATGTCCTGTGGTGTCTAAAGAAGCATACTTAAGCTGAGTAGGAAAGTGCAGGAGAAAACTTGAAACAGGACATCATTCATTTCTGGAAAAAAAAAGAAAATATAAAACATAATTTGCAATGCAACAAAACTAGTTTAATCCAAATCAAGAATTACATCTACCGGCAGAAAGTGTAAGGAAAGAATAAACTTCCATCTGACGAGAAATTACTCAAACTCCATAAATACACACACATAGACCACTGAAGTCATGTCACCATGCCATGTGTCACGTCACTATGCAGATATTGGCTACACTGCATTTCTTCTTAGCTAAAATGACTGGGATTATTCAAAAACCACCACCATTACATACTGTGGTAAACAAAGTGATCCCAAACTCAATATGCTTTATTCTATGTATAATTGTCATATTTTTCCACTGAACGTAACTGGATCCTCTGCTTTGCAAGGTCATTAAAGAGCTGAAATAAGAATTTTGCTGTATGTGTATTTTTTTGCTAAGTTCTCAGCGCTTATTTTCTTATTAGGCCTTAATCCAAGTCGTGTATAGACAATTTCAGAGCAAAATAAATTGTGGTCTTTCAAAACTTCTAGGGGGTTTACACCATGGACTTATTTGAACCTATAGGTAATTGACACTTACAAAACAGTAAAAAAATATAAAATTAATCAGAACGCTTCCTGCTTATAAACGTTCGGTGTTTGAAATGGCCTTAAGCAATGAACCATAAGGACAACTATTGAAAGTTCTGGAAGACCAAGAAATATCTTTTGAAAAATGCTAGTAGACTGGCCAGTTAGGCAAAGCAAAACCCTCCACCTCACTGCCATAGACCTGTTGGAAGATTTGCCTGGCATACTGTGCAGTACTATGCACAAATATCACCTACATGGAAAGATTATCAGATTTGAACATTTCTCAATGCAAGATTGCAAAGAATTTAGCTCGTTCACCATCTACCATACATCATTTTGCAAAAAGATTCAGGGAATCCAGAGAAATCTCAGTCCATGTAGGTCAAGGCCAGAAACCACTGTTGAATGTGTAACCTCTCTGTATCTGAACATAACACCAGTGACAGTGACTGTTATAGCGATGACATCATAGACAATTCGACCTTAAAAATTCCTTTCATAAAAGATATTGTATTTTAACTATAATATTAATTACTTTAAATTAACATCAAATGCAATAGTTTGATGAAATTCATACACATTAAAACCGCTTTTGCTACAAATGTGCGCAACCTTTGAATCCTCAGACAGGACTGCATGAGAAACTGTCATTCTGCTGTGTTAAATATAGCCAAATGGGCTCAGGAGTATTTCAGAAAATTGTTATCACTTAACACAGTCAACTGCAGCATCAACAAGTGCAACTTGAAACTCTATTATGCAAGGAAAAAGCCACACATCAATTCTATGAAGAAACACTGCCAAGTTCTCTGGGCCCGAGCTCATCTCAGATGGTCTCAAAGAAATGTGTGCTGTGCAGATGAGTGCATGTTTCAGCTCGTTTTTTTGTGAAAAAATGGAGTTTTTCATGCCCAAGAATAAAGCATCAAGACTTTTATCAGCGAAAGGTCCAAAAACCAAGATCTCTCATGGTATGGGGCCATCATTGCCAACGGTGTGACTGACTTGCATACATGTGAAGGTACCATTGATGCAGAGGAGTGTATCAGAACATATGCAGCCATCAAGACAATGTCTTCTCTTAGGAAGCCCATGATTATTTCAGCAAGACAATGCCAGGCCTCATTCTGCATTTGCTACAACAGCATGGCTGCGTAGACAGAGTGTGTGTGCTTGAATGGCCTGTCTGCAGTCCGGATCATTCCTGTATTGAAAGTGTATGACATATCATGAAGAGGAGCATCAGGCAACAACAACCACAGACTGTTGATCATCAAGTCTTGTATCAAGCAAAAACAATTAGTACAATTACAATTAGTACCATTGTACAATTATGAAGGTACTATGGTACAATTAGTACCATCAGTTCCCAAATGATTAAAAAACTGTAATTAAAAAGAAAGGTGATATAACAGTGCTAAAAAGGCCTCTTTCCCAACTTTTTAGTATGTTGCAGGAATCAAAGTCTGAATGTATTTATATTTTCAAAATACAGTTGGACAAAGTTAATCAGTGACAACATTTGAAGTCTTTTCTTTGTACTATTCTGAGTTAAATAAAGAGAATTAACAAATCCCTTTGTTGTTTTTACAAGATGTCCTAACTTTTTGAAACTGTTGTTCATAGTAAACTCAGCAAATAAATGGTAACATTGTATTAAATATATATATATATATATATATATATATATATATATATATATATATATATATATATATATATATATATAAATATGTAAGTACTCCATGCTAATGTTGCATTTACTTTCATTTGAAAAATGAACAAAAGGTGTAATTTACCCAAAACATTCCTAAACTTTCACATACAACTGTATGAAGGGAGATCCACATTGTGTTTTTTCTGTATTCTATGTTTTCTGTGTCAAACAAGAAGGAAAAATTGAACCATCATTAGCTTATCTGTGGTTTAGAGTTTAAACCTGAGAAAGTGGGTTCTTAAACTCCACTACCCCAAATATGATGTCCTCTAAAATTCACACATCTGCCATTAGATGGTGCTCTATATCAGGTTTAACTGAGGTTTATCTTAAACCTGCTAAAGCCTTAGATTTACCAAAGTTTGAGGCCAGATTATTATAATAGAAGTGCATTTGTCAGCTCAGATATTTTATTATTGTGTTTATTATTATTCTTTTTTAAGTATTTATACTTTCTGATTGTTTGCCAAGGGTTTTTGCACTATAGACACTAAACTTGCACAGTTTGCCCTGGTCCTCGCTCTGCTTTTGTCTCTGTTTATGACCACGTCTGGAGATCCCGTACGGAGCCCTATTGTTTACAGTAGGGATCAGCTGTTAGCGTTAGGCAACACAGCGGTGCAGCAGGATGAGAGACCTGATATCTGCTGCAAGGCCATTGAACTATTAGCCATTAGCGTGAGGCCGTTTTACCTTTCGAGGAAATTCTGACGTTATTGCAATAACTGCATATGTTCCCCCCCTTTGCTAGGGCTGATGCTGCCTGTGACACCCTGCACATAGCTGTAAGCAGGCTGCAGACACAGCACCCACAGGCCCTCATTCTGATCTCTCCTGAAGGCGAAAAGGAGGACCTTTAGATCAGGAGACAAGGGAACTGAGAAGAAAAATCAGGGAGGGAAAAGCAAGCTACAGGAAGAAGATGGAGGACCAGCTGCAGAAAAACAACGTCAGTGGGGTCTGGAGAACCTTAAAACAATCTCTGGCCACGAGAAACCCGAACACCAGGCTGCAGGGGACCAAAGTGGGTGAATGATCTCAATCTGTTTTTCAGTAGATTTGATCATTCACCTCCTGCAAGCCCCCTCTTCTGGACTCCCAGTGTACTGCCCTGCCCCCTCTCCCACATTCACCCCCCTCTTCACAACTCTCACCTCACAGCCACCCCCACTGGTTTCCCTGCTGTCAGCTCAACCCCTCTACACGCACACTCCAGCACCCAGCCACCCTGCTCCAATCTGTGCCTTATAACAGCCCAGGGGAGAAAGGAGAACACAGGAGTTGATCACCACCTATCAAACTGAATTTTGGACTACCTCACCAATCGACCACAGTATGTGAGGGCACGTGACTGTGTGTCTGACATGGTGGTCAGCAGCACAGGGGCCCCACACAGAAAGTCCTGGCACCGTTCCTCTTCACCATGTACACTGCAGACTTCGTGTACAACTCAAATTACCATCTACAGAGGTTCTCTGGTGACTCAGCAATCATGGGACTCATTACAGATGAGGATGACAGAAAGGACAGAGAACCGACCCAGGACTTTGTGGACTGGTGTCTGAGGAACCACCTCCTGGCGCAGTCACCTCCCTTCACCAGTGAACATCCAAAGAATGGACACTGGAGAGGCGACTCTTATACGTAGCTGGGTTTTCACCTCAACAACAGACTGGACTGGTCAGATAACACTAGTGCACTTTACAGGCAAGGCCAGAGCAGACTCTACCTGCTTAGGAGATTGAGTGCAGGGGCCACTCCTGAGAACCTTTTTCGACACCGTGGTGGCACCAGCCATCTTTTATGGGGTGGTCTGCTGGGGTAGCAGCATCTCAAATGCAGACCGGAAGAGACCTGACAGACTCATTAAGAGGGCCAGCTCTATCCTGGGAAGCCCCCTATACCTAATGCAGGAGTGGGAGACAGGAGGATGTTAGACAGACTAGCATCGATGCTGGAGAACAGGTCCCACCCCTGCTTCACCCCAAGTGTGTGGAGCACTAGCGCAGGACCTTCTTTCCGGCAGCTGTTAGACTGTACAACCAACACTGTTCCCAGTAGAACCCTCCACCCCCCATTTGACCTCACACATCTACAGCCCATAAACTGTGAATTCATCACAATTTCCTCTGAGCAATATAATCAATACTCCATATCATTATAGGGTAAATATTTTTTGCTCTTATATTTATAATTTTTCATAACGTTAATTTTTGTGAAGTTTATACATCATATATATATATATATATATATATATATATATATATATATATATAGGACAGCTTATATAAGTCAACAAGTAACAAACTGTAAACCTTGTTAAGTAATTTTTTTTTTTTTACTATTAGTATAAAATATTACACAGTCCCTCCATTTTCATTCTTCAGATGTAATTGGACAGTTGACTGATGAGCAGTTGAAAAAAGGATTTTCATACAAATTCTTGTTTTTTAATGTTAGTTTGTCCAATTACATTTTGAGCCTGTGAAAATGGAGGAACTACGTAAAAATGGCTGTAATGTCTAAAACGTTAATGCAATAATTTTGCTAAAGCATTTGAATTAAAGATAGAAGTCTAAACTTTAATCAAATCATGACTGCTTCATTTCAAATCTATTGTGGTGGGGTACAGAGGCAAAATTACAAAGTTGCCATTGTCCAAATACTTACGAACCCGACTAGATACATCTACAGCTTTAGGCACTCACCCTTTATAAAGGCGATACCGAAAATCAGTTTCTTTATCTTGAAAACTCTCTGAATCTGCGTCTATGGAAAACAATCATAAATCACCTGTAGCTCCATATACAGCTGCGTGCAAAAGTTTGGCCACCCCTGGTCAAAATTTCTGTTACTGTGAAAAACTAAGTGAGTAAAAGATGACCTGATTTCTAAAAGCCATAAAGTTAAAGGTGGCAATTCTTTGATATATTAGGCAAGATTACTTTTTTGTCTGCATGATTTACAGTTTCAAAGTAACCAAAAAGTGTCTAAAGCAAACATTTAGGCACGCTGCATGGTCAGAACTTGGTAACACCTTCGTTGGCAAGTGTCTCTCTAAGAGTTTTTCAATTCTTGTTTGGGGGATTTTTACGCATTCTTGCTTATAAAAGCTTTTCAGTTCTGTGAGATTCCTGGGCAGTCTACCATACACTGCTCTTTTGAGGTCCAACCCCAGATTTTGGGTGATGTTTAGGTCATTGCAAAACCTTCAGCTTGTGCCTCTTGAGGTAGTCCAATGTAGATTTTGTGGTGTGATCATTATCCTGTTGTATAAGTCATCACAACTTCAGCTTTTTTACAGACGGTGTGGTGTTTGCTTTCAGAATTTGCTGGTGTTTAATTGAATCCATTCTTTCCTCTACCCATGAAATGTTTCTAATGCCACTGGCTGCAACACAAGCCCAAAGCATAATCGATCCACCTCTGTGCTAAACAGTTGGAGAGGTGTTCTTTGCATGAAATCCTGCACACTTTTTTTCTCCAAACAAGTTCCATTTTAACTTCATTTCTAAAAGGCATTAGGGTGGTTTTGATGGTGCTCTGCAAATTTCTGATGCTGAACGTTGTGGTGAGGATACAGGAAAGGTTTTCTTCTGATGACTCTTTCATGAAGGTCATATTTGTGTAGGTGTTGCTGCACAGTAGAATAACACACTGATCTAAAACGTTGAAAAGAATGTTTCATCATTAATTTTATGCCTTTCAGAGATCAGTTCATCTTCCACTCACTTAACTATTCCTATTAACGGATATGTTGACCAGCGGTGCCCTAACTTGTCAATTAGCACAAAACAGGGGTACAGAACATCATTTCAGCATCGTCATCACAAGTGGCACATGCACAATAATCAGGCCGCAGGATGTTCAATGTCAAGTAAGACAAATCAAATACGTCATGCTACAATTTTTTTTGCTTGGTACAAAAGAAAAACTTGCACAGCTCTCATATGTCATATGTCTGCTTCAACATAATTTACACTGATGGATTTATTTAAGTTACAAAATCCTAAACTACTCGACTGAAGTCAAAAATCAACCGTCAGCCCTGACAGTTACCAAACAACCATATGCACGCAGTAATGTAAACGTCTTGTAAATGTTAGTTAGCCACACAGCTAGCGTTACTGATGTTAAAAAATTATTTTTATTGACAAATCATACTTAGACATCACTGTATCATAATGAATCAAATTTTACATGATGTGTGTCTTTACATGCCTAGTAAAGAATTACAGAGTTATTAATGTGAAATTTAATGACTGTGCAAACTGATCATGGTCAGTTTGAATGAGAACAGTCAGCACAAACAATCACAGTCAGGAGATCATGTAATAATTGTGAGAGATCAAGTCTAGACAAGAATTCTCTGACCACTAAAAGACATTCCTACATAAAACATTCCTTTATATTGTTCCAGAACTAACTACGATTTATTCTTCACATCTGCACGTATAATGGACTCTTTCATATTTGATGATGAACATGACAGACTTTGTTTATATTTAGCTACACTAGCTAAAAGCCATTACTACCAGTGGCTATTATCCCAAACTGTTATCTGGCTAACATAAAGCAGCTGTCTGAATCACATTTACCAGAGATTTTATACTCATGTCTTCAAAAGGCTGATTCTACAGACAATAAACCACCAACAATGTAATTTCTCTGACATCAGCTTAGTATAAACAGCTAAAATTAGTGTAAAGTCTATTTGTGTTTAGTTCACCTCTTTAATAAAAGGTCCCAAAACACAGTGAATTTCACATGATTCACAATTTACTGAAAGAACATCTGAAGGTCAATATATGCAATTCATGTCATTATAAAACACCATGGATCTGTAATGTAGAGGATCAGATTCAACCTTATAAATACTCATTACAACCAGAACACAGTACTAGTCTGGTTGAGTCATTTGCTACAGGATAAACACTAATTTTAAGATTATACTAAGCAGTGACATTAAAATCCATATCCTACAAATCAATACAAAAAAGAATAATCACTTAATCACATGATCAGCTGCTGCAGCCAGTGTATAACCCCACTTTAAGCTTTGTGTATCTTATAAAAACACCTCCATATCATACACAGAAAGGGAAAAGCCACATCTGCTGCTCCTCAGACACAGCCCATTTACAAACCACCATCTGAGACACCCAAACACACACAAATTAAGATATTTACATTAACTATCTGAATATTTCAGACGGTAGACATTAATAAACACAGCGTGAAGAAACACATAAGTTCCCCAAACCCGATCACAGCAGCTTCTCCTCTAAATCACTGCAGGATGAGCAGCGTTTCCATCAATGAGGCTCTAACAGACATTTAAAGACCCTCATCAGTCAGTTAGACCGACATATAAGGACTGCAACCAGCTTAAAGCAGCACTTACAGCTCTTTAATCTCAGACTGAGTCTCCGTTTCAGAGTCTCCCCCAAACACAACGCGCTGTGTGGAGACAACAACAGTAGCGAGCGGAGTCCGACCACAACCGGGAGGGTATTTTTCAAAATAAAAGTTTCCAGCGCTCAATACGTTTTAGTTAATATTAAAAAGGCATGTTAATAATTCACACGCACGCACACACACACACACACACACGCACATCATCTAAACCGCTTATCCTTCTGGGTCGCGGTGGGGTGCTGGAGCCTATCCCAGCTGTTATTGGGCGGAAGGCAAGATACACCCTGGACAGGTCACCAGTCCATCGCAGGGCAGACAGACAGACATACATATTCACACACACACTCACACCTAGGGGCAATTCAGCATGTCCAATCAGCCTGACTGCATGTCTTTGGACTGTGGGATGAAACCGGAGTACCCGGAGGAAACCCACGCAGACACGGGGAGAACAGGCAAACTCCACACAGAAATGACCCTGGCCGCCCGGCCGAGAATTGAACCCAGGCATTAATAATTCACTTTCTGAAAATTTTATAAAACACCTTATGGTTTAACATTAAACAAGCATCACTGCACATGTAGGAGTCTTTCATACTATGAGTCAGAAATGCCTAATAGCCTATTGCTTTTATATTAATAAAGGATGGACATCATTTGTCGGTTCGTAAATGTTTTATCTTTGGTTGTGTGTGAAAAAATGTCTTCATTAAAGGTAATTGTTGAAAATTGTTGGTAATTGTTTAAAAGTCCTAGATATGCTATGGGGTGAAGTAATGATGGTACACTCTGTACACCCAGCACTCCATACACACTCTATTTACTTATGTTTTTATATCAGGTTATATACTTTCTAAATATTACATCAACATCTGATACATACTGTTTGATATCTTACAATTTACTACTAAATATATAAGCAAATAAATAAAATGACATGAAAATATGGTTATAAATTATTAACGAAACAATAAATCAAATTATCAATCAAATAATCAGAGTAAAGAATTATGCAAAATTCTATATAGTTAAAAGCAACAAATTGTTATATTTTCTTAAATGTATTAAACATTAAAACAAAGATCTTTTTCCTCAGTACATATCATTTATTGTTTGGAAACAAAGACACAAAAATGATATTTGTTCACCTTGTAAGAAAATAGCAGTTTAAAATAAGATGAAAAGATGTGAAACTTCACATTCATACAATAAATACTAAATTGCACTGCGATTCATAGAACTTTTTATCCTGCATGTTTTCTCATGGCTGATTTCCATACATATTAAATGTCTACTGAGACAGCATAGAAATATCAGGGCATGCAGTTATTTGACTTTATGACAATCTCTTTAAACCAGGGGGCTTAGCTCCACTCTTGGTGGGTGGCGTCCACCACAGTTTGGAAAGTCATCTATTGTTGAGCTGAATTCTGTTATAGCAAGAAAGCTACCAAACAGTGCTGGACTAAAACTTGCACACCCCTCACATCATACTCTTCTATTTAATTTCATCTAAAATGTTTCAAGATACAATGGATTTAGTTTAAATATAAGTTGAAAATGTGCAGATGGCACTATAAGCTACAGCTATACAGTAAATTCAAGGGGTTTTAAATAATAAAGCTGTAGTGTAAATTTCTTTAAGCAGAATGTGTTTCTTTTCTGTGTTTCTGTGACTTTGTGTTTATTTAAGAATTCACTGTAATATATTTTGATGGAGAAGTTCATACAACAGATAATCACTCATTCGGTTCTGGCAAAATGGATTTAGTGGAACATCAAATAACACTGCCTTTATAAAGAAGCACATATAAAGACCACAGTTGCTGCCACACATTTCTCTCAGAAAATGAGGGCATTGTGATAAAATTCATACTGTAAAGTCTATAATTCTTCCATATAATGCCAAATATTGGAAAACCATAATGTTTTGTATTTTAGCAAGAACATCAACAATTTCATGTTCATTTGATTTTAATAAGTCTAAGATTTTTACATTGATATTAATAATTTTTTGTCTAACAGATTGTGTCAAATTGAAAACAACAGTAGCCCAAAGTACAGAGCCTATATTAACTGGAATATCTACAGTGTTAAAACTCCACCAGTTTCTTTTAACTTTTGGAGCATCTGGCAGAATGTTTCTCTCTTTACAATATAAAATGCAAAGCTGTTGACTTGCAGATGTGGATGGGCAAATCAACACCTTTTTTCATTTACCTTTTCTTCTAAAAGAAAACCACAGTAGTCTTTGCAAGGGAGAACAGCACTATTTTTCTTCTTAACAAAAAAAAAAATCCCTGAAGCTGCTGGAGAAATAGAAGGTCTGATGAACCCTTGCCCCAAAGCCTTCTCTATGTAGGTGTTCATAGCACGCTCCTTCTCTGTGTTAAGGAATAAACGCAAGATTTAGGTAAGGTGGCATTCTCAAAAAGGTCTATCGCGCAATCAAAGGGACAGTGAGGAGGTAGTTCTGTGGCGTTACCTTTACTAAAAACGTCCTGAGGATCAGAGTGCTCATCAGGTATATTACAGATAATGTCAGTATCAGGGCTCTCAACTGAAATGGATCGAACAGGAATAGCAGGATAAGTAATGCAATTTACATGGCAGTACTCAGACCATGTGGTTATTTTACAGGTAGCCCAGGAGATGTGTGGATTATGTAGTTCTAACCAAGGGAGCCCTAAAATTACAGAAAACTCTGATGAGTCTAAGGCTGAAAAGAAAATCTGTTTGCTATATAGAGCACTATAGTCTAATTAATTCAGTTCTCCTAGTGATGACTCCAGTTCCTACAAGTTTTCCATCCAGAGCAGCAACATGCAAAGGGGTCTTCAGAGGTGTCACTGGAATTTGCAGTTAGTCCATTATCTGAATGAAGTTTCCTTCTGCTCCGGAATCAATCAGGGCTGAAACGACAGAAGAGGATTCTTTGTAATAACTGCAAACATAAAAAAAGATTTTGAAACCAATCCCTTTGTGGGAACACTCACCACATACTCCATGCGCTTTTCAGGGGGCGGTGCCAGAGGACTTGGTGGACGTGCTCGACACTCACATAGAACATGACCCATGCTGCCACAGTAGAAGCACAGTCCTTTTGGACGCGATGAAGCCTCTCCTCAGCTGAGAGGCAGGAGGTATCGCACTGCATCAATTCCTCAGGTACTTTGTCTTCACCAATTTAATTCTGTTCTTGGTGCTGGAACATTTACGGTTACGTAGGAGCTGGTCTAGACAAATAGCCAAAGAAATTAGTTCATCTAGGTTGATCACCCCTACAGGATAATTTGGAAAGTATTTCAGAATTCAGTCCTTGACGAAACATAACCAATAAAGCTGGCCCATTCCAGCCACTTCCAGCTGCCGATCTGAAACTGAATGTTTCCTTGGCAAAGCTTGGTCAAATGTTCACCACTGACTTTACTCTCATGAGGATAATCAAAAACTAGGCGGAACTCCTTCAAAAATTGTCCGTATGATAGAGTCTGAACCTTTGGCCAGATAGCGGTAACCCATTCTATTGCTCTGTCACAAAGGCGGGATGTGAAAAAAAAATCTTTGCCTAATCTGAGCTTGATGGAGAGTTGTTAAAAAAATGAGCATTGTAACAAAAATCCTCAGCATTTCTCAGGGTTACCATCAAACTTGCCTGGCTTGCTGAAAGAAAAAACTGAACTTGTAGACTCAACAGTGTGGGAGTATTAGCAGCGTTCTCACTCTTACTGGATGTACTTAGGGCTTGCAGTTGGGCTGTTAGTTCTTTAACATTAGCAACAAAATGGAGTAGTTGAGACTGCTGTTCAGCCTGCTACTGTGTAAGTAACTAATACGGAGTAACATCCGCTAATACCTATCGATGTTGTCCAAGCAAGTTACGTTGATTGGCGATAGCCTTTTGGAAAGCCTCATAGTCTGCTGTCTGCATTGTAGCTGAGGTACTGACCCAGTCAGACACATAAGGCATTATTGTAAACACGTTTGGCAAAACACAATGTTGTTGAACAGGCATGGGTCAAATCCAGAAAGGCCAAGAAACAAAAAAAGACAAACATAACAAACCAGGCAACCAGATCCAAAGGGCAAAAGGCAAAGTCAAAGAGTCCAAGGCAAGATCATAACAGACAAAGGGCAATTAAATAAAATGCTCAGTATTTCTCAAAAGTAGAAGCAATACCTCACAAAGTACCTAAGCTAAAAGCCAAGGCTTCATACTAACTCTAATGGATCACATGACAAGAGATACAGGTGGAAGAGATTAATTTTCGTGTGACTTCAAGCAATGATTGTAGTTCTGTGGAGTGTGATCAGTCACATGATCTCCCTGAGGGTTCTGGGAGATGGAGTTCCTGGCTTTAGAGCCGGAAGGATGCATGAAACCTGCACATGGGACTGCAGGAATCAAAGGTGGGAGACCCTAAAATAAACCTGCAAGAGGGAATTAAGGAATCAAAGCTGGTAGACACTAAACTACAACTGCCAGTGGGGTTGCAGGAATCAAAGTTGGGAGACACAAAAATATACCTGTCAGTTGGGCTGCAGGAACATTGCTAATAGACACTAAAATATACCTGCCAGGGGGCTGCAAGATCGAAACCTTGAAACACTAATATAAACTTGCCAGAGTGAATGCAGGAACAAAGCTGGCAGATGCTAAAATAAACTGTGAGACATTAAAATATAAATGCTGGAGGGGAGTTTGGCATGGCCACAAAGATACCCATGGAGAAAATTACCTCATGCCAACTACGAAGTAAGGTGGCGGATCTCTGATGTTGGTAGGCAGTTTTGCTTCCAAAGGCCCTGGACAATTTATTCCGAAACATATTATCACAGACTCCATCATGCAGCAGCAGAAATGAAGTCAAAACCTGACTGCCTCAGCCAGGAAGCTTAAACTGGGCCACAGTTTGGGACTTCCAGGAGGATGATGATCCAAAGAATGCCTCAAAAACAACACAAAAATGGTTTCTTAAAAACTAAATTAAGGTTTTGCCATGTTCACTCCAGTCCACTGACCTGAACTCCAAAGGACACCTGTGGGCTGACCTGTAGAGGAGAGTCCACAGTGTAGACCTCAAAATCTGAAGAATCTGTAGAAGTTTTGTATGGAGGAACGGTCTCAGATACTTTGCCATGTGTTCTCCATTCTCATTATCACAGTCGCATTGTAGGAGAAGACTCAGAGCTGTTATCTTTGCAAAGG